GTAATAATATATATTCAGACCGAAAATGGAAGAAGAAAGAAGACCCACTCCTTCTGATGTATACTCCTTATCCGTGATATAGTAGTACTCTTTGACATACACATATTAAGCATGTTTCCTTCCCAAACTAATGATTGATCCCTTTGAAACTGACGTGACAACCCCCGGAGTATCATCTTCTTAGTAATTCACTTGGATCAATGTTTGGGATTTGTCCAATTTATTGTAATTGATTAGTTAACATGTTGGTTTAATGTATTCTGGAACACTGAAATGTGATTAGTTAACATTTGGGGCTTTTAAAAATGTGATTTTCAGTTGTGTTTATCTGTCTCTTCCTCTCTCTTATTCAGGGAATATTTCGTTCTGATGATTCGATTTAGCTTCGTCTATTTAAATTCTATTTCTTCTGGTAGTTCTGCTTTTCCTTTCTTTATTAACCTGCCTCAGTTGTTGTTACACTCTGCTGAAAAAGAAACTGTTCTTCATTATTTCCCTGGGGCGATTTTGTAGACTTATATGTCTTCCTTCATGTCACATTCTGCCAAAAAAGAAACTGTTCTTCATTATTTCCCTGGGGTGTTTTTGTAGAATTCTATATCTTCCTTCATGGCTTTCTGATAGAATGTTTTGAATGTTGGTTTAGTGTTTATCCTCTGGCTATACTGGATTAATTTTTTGAACAGTAATAAAACATATACTAGTAACAGAGTCTTGCTCTTTTTTTATTACTGTAGTGACTTGTATAATGTTATTTCTACTGCTAAAACAGGTTAATGAACTTGAGCAGAAGTTGGAAAAGCAAGGAGGTAGCATTGGGAATCTACTTCAAAGGGTGGTCTGCAGGTGCTTTTCTAATTCTGAGTTGAGTATGTTTGTTAATTAGGATATCACATAGCACACCTTCTTTCTACCTTGATATCCTCATAACAGCAGCTCAACTAGGCAAATTTCGTACAACCATATTCTTGTTCACAGTGCTTGATTTTCAGTCACTGTTTATTTATTTACAATATTTGGAAGTCATCTGTTTATTTATGTTGTGGTCCATCATTGTTAGTGTCTAAAGCTGTGCTCTGCAGCTGCAGGTCACAGATCGTATTCGTTTTTATATTTCTTAGCAACTTGCATGAGCATTAGGTGATACATTTGAAGTTATATGATATGATAAATGGTGTAATACTTCATATGAGATTGATCAATGTTCTGCAGCAAAATCTTCTCGTGTGAGTGTGTCTCTTTCGTGCTTTATGTTGTGAGTGGGATTAAGAATCCACGTCAGTTTTGAGACTGTAGCCATAAGAAAAAACAAAGAGTTGTTCCTTAAATCAGATGTCCTGTTTCCTGCACTTTGACTCTTTGAGGCCTGTTCATAATGGAGAGTTGTACAAGGATCAGCGTAAATAATAAGCTTGAAGAATCCTTTTCATCTGTGAATCACAGATTTTTTGCATTTGGTTTTTCTGATGAAGTTTGAAGCACTTTCAGATTACAAGATAAAAGTGAACTAATCTTCTAAAACTGCGGTACTCATGGCTTCTTTCTGCAATGTCAAGATTGTGGTTATTGAATACCTTGTCTTATACTATGTATCATATGCCGCTATTGCTTTTTCGGTTTAAGGTCTTTTTACCTGTGTTTGATGACCTCAATGTATGCATTCTTTACTTGCCCTGCGCGTTTCTTGCTTTTGTTGGTTCTTTAGCCAGTTAGTGAATTTGACTGATTGGTGTGGGGTGGTATCTCCAGTTGTCTAACTATGAAGTATATTTTTGTGAAGCAGAAGATATAAGAGATTCAATATGGCCCTGAGTAGCTGATGCTGTAGGCAAATATTCTCTTTTCACTCTTGAGATTTAAGTTTTCTCACTTCTCAGCACTCTTCCCATTTGTATATACACATATGTATACTGCCTTTGTTTGTTGTTGTTAGTGGTGACATTTTATTGTGTCCAAATTGACAGTACCCTCTACACTCCCAAATATATTGAAACACCTAGTGTAAGTCATCTCATGGCTCGTTTTTCTTCATTGTTGGAAACTATGCAGTCGATCAATTTTGTGATGCCTGAGTTGTCATGTCCTTTAGTCATATTGCTGCCATGCTTTTATTTTCCATTTGGAAGTTCTTCTGAGCTTGTGCAGACTGTTGTTTCTGTTACAGCTTTGTATCATTTAGACATTGATAAACACATTGTTCTAAGTGATTTTAATTTTGTGGACTGATGTGTTCGTACCTTAATTATACCTTGATTACCTGATGGACATGGATTTTAGTGGGGGAAGGCTTCACTTGCTCGGAGCATTACCATATGCCTTTCCATTTTGTATCTTGACCGGGCATAAGAAATTGTTATTAGCTTTGCAAACTTTTTCTTAAATGCTTCCTCGTTTTCTGTCATCTAAGTTGTATTTTATTGCGATCTTTTGATGATGCATAAATGATGGACCACAACATGACAACAATAGTTATTATCTCCATGACAGCAATTCATTTTTGGTGGTGATTACATTGATTAATAATATGGTTTATTGTCTTTGGAACTTTTGCACAGGTAAAGGAATATTTCAATCATATTCATTCTTCTTTGAGGAATGTGATTGAAAGAACTTTCGCATACTGAAGCGCAAGTTTGCTTTTCTTAAAGGGCCAATGAATAACTATGATTTTAAGAAGCAAGTGAACTTTGTGAAGTAGAAGAAGTTGATATGTCTACTCCTGCCATAGCCCAATGGAATAACTGGTGAATGACCATAGCAACACAAATGTGGAATGCGTGTTAGAGTTTTAAATATTGTGGAATTCGTATGCGTTGAATGTGTGGATTTTAAAATGTTGTGAATTTATTCCAAGTCTTATGAACCATGTGTTATTTTTTTTTTGAGAGTTGGATGTTTAAAAATCTCTCGATAACAATATTTCAAATTTATTATGCATTCGATAAATTAGAATGGTTTTAATATTATGCTTTAATTTAGTCATATAATGGTTTTAAAATGAAATAAAAATGCAATAATAATATGAAAATTTGTGTAAGTATTTCCTTTTATTACAAAAAGAAAAGAAAGGTGCAATAATTATTTTTTGACAAAAAGTATTTTTGGAAAAGGTCTAATACAAATAAATTTTTAATATTTTTAACTACAAAAAGTTTTTTGTTAAATTTTTGTCCAAATGGATTTTTTTTTCAAAAAATCTTTTTGAAATTTTACTCCAAAAAGACTTATTTGAAAAGTTTTTCAAAACACTTGTCCAAATGGAGCCATAATTGCTTTCACTTTCCCTTTTTGTAAATGATCCGCAACACTTTCTATCGTATAATACGTACAAAAATATGACAATGGACCGCCGAAGGGAAGCATTTTGTGACACCATCGACAAAAAATTTATAATGAACTCCTTTTTGAATTGCTAGTTCCAGATATACCCAAAATTTGGTCCAGTTTAATATTAAGGATCAATCCCACAATACAGGATTAGAGATACTCCCAAAGTTCTACATTCGAGTTGATGGTGCCTTTAATGATGTTGAGTTTCGAGGTGCCGGAGCCTGAGAAATTATCTGAGATCAAGGATGTTGTATTAACTCAGGAAGTCAATTTTTTCATGCAGCTTCTCCGGTCAAAGCAGAAGGAAGAGCATGCCTTCTTGGTTTACTTGCAGCCTCTAGTCTCGGCCTATCTCATTGTCAACTTCAAACGGACAATTTACAGGTGGCGATCGTGTTGATTCTCGAGCGTGAATGTCCTTTAGAAGTTCAATGTCTCTTTCGAGATATTAGGATAGAGGTTAATGCTATTCCTTGCACTATTAGAAAGGTAGCTAGAACTGACTCTACGGGGTCTTTTGGTGTTCTTTGATCAATATATAGTACTTTCCTCTAAAAAAAAAAAAAACTCCTTTAGTCAGCTTCTGAGTTCTGACATCCAACAAAAACAAATGTACCAACAAGTTTTCTTTTGCTAGCCATAAATCTACCTCTTTAGTCACCCCAACCGGCATTTGCGCTGGTTTTAGTTTATGAACCAAAAGGAAGTCTATAAGGGACAAAAAACCAGACCAGACTGAAATGCTTCACAGTACTTTTCTTAAATGCGCAAACTGAAAAAAAGAATTTATCATTTTACTTGAGTCCCTTCCCTGTAGTTCATCAAACAGTAACCCCCAAATGCATTGTCATTTGACACAGACAAGCTCTCTCCTTATCTTCACATATTCAGCTATCTCTTAATCACGAAGGCATGGTTTGGGGAAATAAGGTTAGCACTCTGAAATTAAGCTTTTGTAGTACTTAAAAGACACAAAAGAAGAAGTCTCTATTGTAATAAGACCTAATGAGACTATTAATGTTTTATTGCCTAATAAACCAGCAAACTGAAAGATCACTAGTTCCTAGAGGAAATACAAGCATTGTGTAAGACAGAAACTTAAGTTTACTGAATAGAGAGTCATGCAACCATAAGTCGACTATTGAAAAAGAATAGTGAAGCGATTTAACAAATATCAGAAGGCAACTATGAGAAAATAGACATCATTGAAAAGTGAAGGGACGTCAACAGAAACTATGTAAGTTGCACTTTCAAAATGAAAACTATTCCACCTACAATAGTATCAGTCCTGGACAGCAATAGCTTTTCCTGAAATCTAGAATTGAAGTATACCTAGCTAAAAAGGCAAATGAATACAATACACGGGACATTCCAAGATTTTACTTTAAAAAAAAAAAAAAACAGTTTCCAATTTGCAGCTTTTTCCTTCAATTTTTTCTTTTACCTATATCCACTTGTCCCTCTTGTAATTGATATGATATCCGAAGTTTTTCTATTTAACAAGATGGAAACAAAATTGATTAATGGGAAACATTCATGGATCAACAATGTATGGAAAAGAAATCTAAAGCAAACACTCAACAAAAACAAACCATAATCAACAGAACATAGGAATAAAAAACAGAAGACCAAATCAAACAAGCATGCTGATATAATCTGCAAAAAAGGCACAAAAATCAGCCTGTTTATTCATTATTACTAACTACTGCAAGGATGCCACAAGAATTCCCAACCTAGTTGAATTTGGCCACCTAGTATTGGGTCCCAAAACATTAGAATTTCCACATAAAAATAGCCAAAACATGGATCCCTGAACCAATAACTCTTTTACTCGTGGAGTCCTTTAGCTCTTTTCCCTTCTTTCATCCGACCAGCAAAAATGGTCGACCACACTCTAATACACTCTTTCATTTTAAACTACAATCTGTCTTAATATCGTAAACAAAAATGAAAGGAAAAACATCAGAATCAGTTGCACTAAACCTTTCTTGTTCCAACTGCACCACCACCCCCATAATTTTGTGCTTCAAGCTTCAGCTGCTCCTCAATTAAAATTCTCTCTCTTCTCTACTGCAGAAGACACTTCTGCTGGCATATACTTTCTCTTTGCACTTCGCCAAAACCTTAGTAGATTTAAAATAATGCACCGAGCTTTTCGCCTTCTTAGAGATCAAGGACTTCTTTTCAGGAAGAGCCTCTTGACAGTTACCTACTACAGTATTATCATTTTCTTTTGGAGCCGGCCAAACAAGCATCCAGTATTATAATCCATTAAGCAGTTCTACTTGAAGAGCCTCTAGACTGTGCTGTAGAAATTTCTTTTAATTTGGTCAACATTCCAGGGTTAACAAATGGACACTAAACCCAACAGAATTCACTTTTTGGCATCTTCAATTAACGTGGTACAACATCATCCAATGCATCGTTTCATTTACATTACAGTTTAGTACAACCACCACAACATAATAAACCACTGACGCCAAAACCTAGGACTAAAAACTGACGCCAAAACCTAGGACTAAAAACTGACGCCAAAATAAAAACACTTTAAATAAAAGGAAACTACTTAAGCTAATAATTTATTATTAAAGCATCCCTGAAATCTTCCTGCATCAACATTCCTTAAACTTAATGAGACAATTTAAATGATGCAATCAAGCCATAACATCAAAAGGTTTAAACGTTGCATGTTACTCATCAACCTAGCTGGCATAGCATTAAGAGCAATTCTAATGTTCATCAGCTTATCATATCAAAGGCAGCACATAGGGTATTAGCTCTCTCATTCAAATGAAACTTGGTCTTGAACGAATTCAGCGGAATTATCAAACAATATTTGTTAACGCTGGCAAAAAATGACTGCCCAAAGAAACACTCTAATGAATCACTTGCAGTACTTAATGACACAAGAAGAAGTCTCAAGTAAAAATAAGACCAGAGATGAGACGGATAATAATTTATTTCAGATAGAACAAGGAAACATCTAGAACATTGTTTCTAAATGAAAATACACCAATGAAAAAACCCAGGTTTGCTCAACAGAGTCAGGCAACAGTTAGTTAACTATATAAACAGGATAGCGCTAAGAGGTATATAAGAACTATCAGAGGGAAACCATGGAAAAAAAAAAAGAACCAGTAAGATGTCAAGAGATGTCAATTTAAAGGACACAAATGCACCTTCAAACTTGAAATTGTGCCACTTCCATCTACAATAAAATATCATCTATCCTTGACGGCAACGGTTTTCCCTGGAAACTATTTGAAAAAATTGCATCTAAGAAGACAAATTATTTGAACGACAGGAGCAATCCAACAATTTAAGAAACTCTTTCCAGTTCGTATCATGTGCTTTACACAAATGTAGCATACACCGTTTTAGTTGTACCCAGTTTTCCTCCCTGTAACTGATATCCAAATATTTCGCAGTTCCAAAGTAATACGCAAACAAACAATACCAATGGAGAACACTCAAGAATCAACGGTAATCAGAAATGAAATCCGAAGCAAACAATCAACGGAAAGCAGGCAAGCAACACATTGCACTGGTGAAGAAAAAATATATGTTAACCCAAACAAACATGCTGATAGGATCTGCAAAGAGAAGCAGAAAAACAGGCCATTTATTAATCATTGTGTACTTAAGGGATGACAAATGAATGTGTGTCATACTAGGATATGTCCGCCTTCGTATTCATGGGTTCCACAAAAATTTCATGTCCACTAAACAAAAGCAAAAATTGTAGTATCTGAAACGCTTCAACTTATGTCCTTTCCACCCTTTTTTCTTCATTCATCCAACCAGAAACGAATCGATTAATACACTCTTACATTTGGAACTCTGTATTAATACGAATAATAATGATAATAATAATAATAATTCATAAACAAAATTGAAAGGCAAAAGTCAACAACCAATCATGCTAAACCTTTGCCGCCAGCAGCAGCATTTTCTGCTTCATGCTTCTGCTGCTCCTCGCTCAAAATTTTCTTATTCTTCTCAATAGCGGAAGCCACTTCTGGTGGCATGTACTTCTCATCATGCTTCGCCAAAACCTCAGTAGCCTTAAAATAGCAAGCCAAGCTTCTAGCCTTCTCGGAGACCGACGACGAGGACTCCTTCCCAGGATCTTGCCCTTTACCTGCAACAGTCTCATCATTTTCTCTCGGAAACGGCCGAATGAATCCTTCCACCACAACGGAATGGCCTTCCCGGAACAAGTCAGGCAAAGACCCATCATACTTCACCAAAATATCCGTCATCAAATCCGTGATCACGAACTCCATCTCCGGCGAGGTGGGAACATCCGTCAAACTGCCTTCGAGAACAAGCCCGCCGAGGCGGAATTTGGACTTGGAAGGATTCTCCGTGTACTTGGCCAAGGCATCAGTTGGGGTAACGTAGAAAACAAGCTGGTCCTGAAATTGATTAATAACGATGACTATAAACCCCGCGATGCAGCTGAACGTCAGGGCGTAAGTCCAGAGGCGGCGGTTCTGGAGCTGCCGGGCTCTAGCTCCAATATCGGGGCGGGCTGAGCGATTCGGGCGGCCCGACCGTGTTGAGAGAAAGCGGAGATCGGATGAGACGCGGTGAGGCGGAGGTTGCCATATAGAATTCGCGCGATTAAATTTCGGGAAAGTTGAGCTGAAAGAGTTGCCGGAGTGGTGGTGGTGGCGACGGCGGAAGGCGGCGGCGCTGGTGGCGATTGTGGTGGACGTGGAGGTACGGAGGTGGTGGTGGAGATGAGTGATTAGGCGGCGGGTGAATCTGGAGTACATTTGAGAGGTATTGAGGAATTCTCTGATTCAATCTCCTTTGGTTTTTCGAGGGAAGAGAAGGAGCAACAAGAATTTCAGAAAAGGAAGCAAATCATCGAGGGAGAAAACGATTCGTGAAATCGCCGCCAATCCGAGTTGAATGTTCTAAGAGGGTCGGAATGAAATTATCAATTTTGCCCTTGTTCTTTAAGGAAAATGTACTCGATATTGATACAAGAGATTTTCATTCAAAAAAAAAAAAAGTACAAACGTATTGTAATATTCCCTCGGTCCACAAACCTAGTCTTATACAATTGTCATTTGTGAAATAATTATTTTTTAAAAAACACAAAAAAATATAGTATTCCCTCCGTCTCATAATTATTGTCTAATTTTACTAAAATGAAAGATTTTATTTTTGGTCAAACTTAACTATATTTTACCTTAAACAACCGGATATACCCCTACATAAGTAATTATTTAACCACTAAAGATTTTATGGATAATGTTTTTTACTAAGGACAAATGTGTAACTTGATCCATAAAAAGTCAAATTGAATAATAATTTTGGGACAAAATTTTTTGGGCAAAGTGGACAATAATTATGGGACGAAGGGAGTACTAATTAAATCACGAACTAGTTCCAGTATAAAGGTTGAGTAAAATTAGGTCAAGTTAGATTTTCAACCAAGTCAAAATTTAATCATAGGATTGATTAACAAGCATCGGATTTTTGTGTGTCTAACTTGTGAGACAAAAATAGATGACACCAATGAAACTATCGACAATGAAACTAAAAATAGTAAATTAACAATAATAAGTAACTTGTGAGACAAAAATAGTGTAACATTACAAGGGAATGAAGAGTTGGTTCAGTGGTAAAACTACTCTTGCTTTAAGAGGAGGTCATGAGTTCAATTATGCTCCAAGAGGAGGTCATGAGTTCAATCCTTCCTTCAAGAAGTGAGGGGTTGGCTCTCACCTTGCTTATTTATACCTCTAGGGACTTATTATGGCTAACCCACTAATGAATTTCCGATTTCGCACCCGAGCTTGTCATCCCGGGCTTGTCTAGGTTGGTTTAACTCACATTGTAGTTTGCAGGTTATTACAGTGGGTTTACCCATCTCTAGTGGGGTTCCTAGCGTCACCAAAAAAAAAAATCTTGAAAAATCTTTTTTGGGATTAACTCTCATTGTTGTTTGGTACATGATACATCACTCATTATTCAAAATTATTAAATTTAGAGAATTTTCATCAAGAATTGGGGTTTTTTTCCTTTTGTTTTTTTTTTCTTTTTTGGAGGGTGGAACAAAATTGAAGTTTATATTAATCTATGGGAATCATTCAGGCTTTGTTTGTTTCCTTTTTGTTTGTTTTTTTCAAAATTTAATATTAATAACTATCACATTTCGGCATATCTTTTTACATTTTCAATATACCTTTTTACATTTCTAATACAAAAAACACCTAAAAACACACATTAAAAAAACAAAACAAACATACATTCAGTAACTACTGACAAAAGAATGTTATAGCGAAAATAAAATAATAATTTACGATAATCAGGGACGGAACTCTTAAGGGGCTGGGGGAGTACCGAGCCCCTCCGGTTCATTGTTAATCTTACGTCATATATATTCAATCATCGATTTTAATATTATAACGAAAATAAAATAATAATTTACGATAATCAGGGACGGAACTCTTAAGGGGCTTGGGGAGTACCAAGTCCCTCCGGCTCATTGTTAACCTTATGTCATATATATTCAATCATCGATTTTGATTATATATATATGGTCAACCCTTCTAAGTCTGAGTAGCTGGTTCTGCTACTGACGATAGTGAGACGATTGAGCTCTAGTTGGAGAACGCTAGCTTTATTGATAGAAAGATTGGTTAAGGAGAGAATAGATACATATATGCAAAGGAACTCTCTCATCTAAAACCTGAAGTAATCCAATTTCGAAACCAATCTGACAATGTATACATGGTTAACAAGTTAAGATTTGCACCATTTGATATCAAGGATTCTGCAAATTGAGAAGCCTCATAGTATTAAATAATGAAAAGTACAGGAGATTTATTACAAGGATTCTGGAAACAATCTCAAATGAATATAACGTTAGCCGCCATACATATAGGCACCTTCTAATGCTAGGATACAAGGCCACGAACTTATCTAATGATGATTTGGCTATCTACAAGAAATTCTAGCTTTCATCGTCTCTCAAGATCACAATAAACATTTAGATCAAGGCTCCAGTTGCTAGTGCCAGTAGTGTTACTAGGAAATTTTATAGGGCAGAACTCACTTTTCGCTTGCCGGTCTAATTCTGGTGTTGTAACCAGCAGTCAACAATCTTACGAGGACATTGAGAGGCGAAACTAGATCGTTTTGGTGCAAATCCTGGAATAATTCGGCTTTGCAAGAACGACCTTCTTCACAAAACAACAAATCATGATAAAGAATTACCCCCTCTTTTATTCTTCCAGGCTCAAGCTATCATTAGAACTTCCTTCAGTTCGATCCCAAAGGTCTTCTACAATATGTACATATTTTAGTCTCCTAATATACAAAATGGCTCAGAATATCATATGTGGAATAAGAAGCCGATGAATGCTGCTCTTTATTTTGCCACTCAAAGAGGGTAGTAACTAGTAACTACCCGAAAAAAATGCATGTACAACTAATTGCTTATATCCAACTCACATCTCCGACAGGAGATTGCTGATCTTCCGAAGCTCTTTCAAGGCTGCCATGGCTGTAACCTGTCCTTTGCCAACCAAAATGTTCTTAGATTGGCCCGATTGAGCTCGATCTTGCTGGAAGACGGATTCTATCACCTGAGCAACAGAAGTTTGATGACATGTAGCTGGTTAATAACTGGTGAAAAGTTCATAACAAACTGCAAGAGAACAAATTATCATTTTACAGATTCTAAAGCATCGGAAATGGTATTACCTGGATGTTCTCGAGCATAGATTGACCAAGATTCCTTAAAGTGGCCATAACATTCTGGTCCACACTCTCTCCCTTGCTTTGTTCAGGAGATGTTATGACCCCTCCATTAGCTGTGGAAGTGCCAGGAATGTTGTCTTGGGCAGTTGTCCCATCGCATTCTTTATTTACCTCAGTGATTTGCCCTTTATCAGACATCCCTTCACCAGCACCGCGTCCAAACTTCCAGAACCATTGAAATTTACTGGATATTGGTTTCCGCTCTTTCAAGTTTGTTGTTGGTTTCTCCACGATGTCATCAGTGTGACTGGAATTTGAAGAGACATTCCCAGGTGTATCAGATACTGCAATAGTTGAGCCTTCTATATTACTTACGCAGACTTCTGCTGGATTTGGGCCTGTATCATTTTCATCAAGTGATGAATTTGAAGCAACACTACTCCTTCCTGATTCATCGACATGATCATTGAGTCCACTGGCAGGGCTTGGTGGATCAGAGAAAATGGAAGAGTTCTCTTCACTTGCAGCATTCCCGCTCAAACATATTGGCTCAGCTGTACAATCAAAATTTTCATCACTAAAATCACGGCTATCATCCACTTCTGGCTCTTTTTCATCAGTGGGATCATGACTTAGTATCTCATCTGCATCTTCATCAGCCCCAAGCTGGCGGGCCAAATCTTTCAACAAACTTCTCCTCACGATTTTAGAATTCTTTTTCCTGCTGCCAACCTCAGACGGACAGGGACCAGACTGCGTTCTAGAAAGACGCAATTTCACTTTCTCAGACCAGCCCTTCTTAGCGGGAACTTCCTTTCCTAAAGCATCTTGCTTACGTTCCTCTTCTTTGTGCAAAACCCGCCACTTCTCTTCCCAGTAGCTGTCCGGCATTAAGGTCAAAGGAGTTTTAGGAGAAGTTGAATCTAATGAAAGACTATGGCCTCTTACAACTGTTGACTTGCTCCGTCCAATTGTTCCCGTGTACACTGGCAATGGGGCTGAACTATTCGCATCCACCGCCAGCGTCTGCAAGGATTTCGCTTTCTTTATCAATTTAGGCAGCTTCACATCATCTGGAAAATTGAGTAATCTTTGAAGGCAGGAAGTAGCATTTTCAGTAGCAAGCAAAGAAGACCTCAAATGAAGAATCATTGAAACAGCAAAAGCGGAGATAAATGCACCCCTCGCTGAATCAAGGACTCCAGAGCTCGAATCTAAATCACTTTCAGCTGAATTGTTAAGCCTGCAGTTTCCACACGCAAATATTTCATCCCATATTATCAGAAGATCTTCAAGAGCAAATTCACGCCCAAACAAGACCCGCAGCCATCTCAAAGCAAAGTATTGCGGTTCCACCCCGAGCTCAACTAGATGACTGTAAAGAGATGAATCAACAATGGAAAGCAAATGGTATAATGCAGCAGAAGCTTCAATCACTGGAGGAAACCCACTATGTGAAGAACCAAAAGGAGATGGAGAAAAAAACTCTGACATGGCAACAACTCCACCTGACCCGCTCATCAGAGCATCAAACATACAATATGCATCATGCTCCATGAATTTATCAGATAAAACAACACCAAGTTCACCTTCCGCGCCATATGCATCACTAAGCAAAATCATAGTCTGTATCTTAGGATCTAGCTCACTAGGATTTCTAGCAACTTCTGAACCTTTTGCTGATCCAATCTCATCAGCTATAGAGTCTGAAAATTTCTTAAAATCAAACTTATATGATAGGTCGTTCTGATGAAAAGAGAAACCATCAAATTGGTCAGTGAAATGATCTTCATATGTTTTCCTAACTTCAGATAGGTGTTCCACATCCACATGGAGAACATATAAAAGTGGGGCTAAGAGTTCATGCATCCCTGTAAGAGAAACAACAAAAACATTCATTTCCAAATATACAACAGAAAAGCAACTATGGTCAAAGCCTTTGATTTAATAATGCGGAGCAATACAAAGCATCAATTATGTAAGGAAAATACAAGAAACAACCAATTTAGAGCCTATTCTTTATTCAGGCAAACAATTAGGAGAAGGGATCATAAAAATTAAACTGCAACATAGTTAGGAGATTAACGGTTCGCAGAATATGGCAACCAATACTGTAGCTGGTTTTTATTTTATTTTTATTTTTTAATTAAGAACCTAATAATGTTTTGCATTACAACTAGGGCGCCTCCAACAAACTGGGGTGAGCACGTATATCTATCTTTAACCCAGAGGTGAAAGAGATAGAAAATGGCAGGGGGAAATCTTGGTTGGGGGATTCAATCCCTCCCCCTCTATCCTAGCATGAAACCTCCTACTTATATAGATTTTAGTCCTAATGGGAAGTTAAAGGAGTGAACTGAAGACTCTATCTAACATGTAAGTTCACATGATTTCATCATTCAAAAGAGACTATCTAAACGATAGACCCAAAAACAAAACAAAAAAAAAAAAAAAACACAAAAAGAGTTTGTCCAAAGTTATGAGTTTATATTAGCCACTTATAGGAACATTCTAAACATAGTAAAGCGGGGGGAAAAACTACTTTATAAGAGCCACTGTGGGTACATTTTACTAAAATAAAAGCCAGATTATTTCCCTTTATAACAAGAGAGAACGACAGTACAATTTCCCGATGCAAAATCAATTTAGCATATACCTCAACAAGAATTGTAAGCATTTCATTTATTGGCCTATTCATAGTTTCCAGGCCATATTTTCCCCCCCTCTCTATTAACAATATTCTAGTCTTTTGGGTGATATGGCAGGAGGAGGTTTCCTTTGGTTATAAGGCAAAATATGAGTGTACATTTTTTTCATAAATAGTGAGAAGTAACAGGAGCCAAATGAGCCAGATTCTCCAGATTTATTTAATAGATGTACGTTTGCATGGATTCATCATTCAAAGAGATACTGTATCCAAGTAATAGAACAAAAGAAACATCAGAAAAAGAATGCATTAGAAGGAAGCTTATGGTTCTGGGACCAAATAACAGGATTTAGAGTTACAATTATCAGGCACTGCCCATGCAGACAATCATTCTTATCTATATATGGCCCAAATTAGGGTCTGGAAATTACTGTTTCTAATTATAGCATGGAATACATACTCCTGATGTCTTAGATGGTAAATAAATATCTATACCAAAATCCTTGGATTCATCAGATATCAGATTCCCATCTCGAAATATTGTTTTCATTTTCATAAACTGCACAGCCAATGGCTAAAGAAATTGAACATGGTATTCTCTTACTTACCCTGTCTATATCCATATGCTGGATATCGAAGACACCAGAGCAACAAAATTCGTCGAAGCATATTCTGACATGCAGATGTCTGGAAGTAACTGCCATGTTCAGGATATAAACGCGTCAAATCTTGGTCCACCATTCTCTCTAATTCAGCATTTTTGAAGAAACGACCCCACATACTATCTGTATAAATCACAAATGCAGCAGAAACCCTTACAGCCAGTTAATGTTGTGTCAAAAACCACATATAAGATCAACAATAAACAAACACTAAATTTGAATCCATAAGCTTATAAAATGAACTAATTTCAATAAAAAAAAAAAACGCAAACTGTGAACACAAACTGGTAGCTGCCATTAAGCTGCAGAGTGGAATGAGAAAGAAAAAAGAAATGCTAATTCTAACCTGGATTTTGCGACAATGGATTATCCATGACAAGATCGGGAGAGCTGCTTCCATCTTTAGAAATATGGGGATCAACAAGAAGTTGCCGCCGCATTGCAGCATACCTAAACGCCCCAAATTTCAACTCAGATGAAATGATTATCAAAAAACAAAGCTCAACGATTGCTTATTAAAAAACTGTGATTAGGTTAAGAGTGTCCCCTATATGAAGTGGTCAATATAGGAGTTGCAGAAGTGTACATAAATCAGGAACATGATCGAAGCAGCTCGAATTCGATTTTTACGAAATCAATGCTTTGATTTTCTCTCTGAAACCAAATCCAAGCTCTAAAGTCCTACTAGGCCAATAACTGTGTTTCACAATAGAACATTTTAAAGCCACCAAGTATTTTGGGAAATTTGAGAAACACGGCCAAGAAGTTTTGGAAAACATACCAAAATTAGCAGTACAGCAAATTTCAGATGAATTTCACCTAAAACTAAACACAAAAAAAAATAGAAACTTTTTTCCAAAGAAAACAAAGAGGCCCCAATTCAAGTTGATGGAAAATATACCCAAAAATTGGAACGATCTTCAAAGCTACAAAATGGCAATCTTAAACACCCAACATCTCCTATCTTATATTACCTTCTACGAGAATTAGCAGTGACCCGACGGAGATCATCAATTGAAGAAGAAGGAGAAGATGGCAAAATCCCCAAATCGATACGCCACTGCACGCCTCTTAGATCCTCAAAACGACGAGAAACCTCAGCCACCGACGTCGTCTCAGTCAATGCGCCGCCTGTGGGCTCCACCCTCACCGGCGATATCATCCCTTCCCCAACTTTATTCCCTTTCAAACTCTAATAAACCCAGAAACTAAAAATCCACCAAAAATCCCAGTTGCTCACATATAATTAAAAATCCCAATACAAGAAGCTTGGATTTGGAGGACACCCATATGGCCAAAGGATTATTATAGGATAAGAACAAAAATCAAAATCGAGAAACGGAGGAAATTCTGGGTCCTAACAAACAGAATCAAGGAATTATCTTTGCAGGTGGAAAATAGAAAATGGAGAGAAATTTGAAGGAAAAAAAAATGAGTTGGAAATTAGAAGGAGGAGAGAATCAAGCTAAGAAGAGCTGAATTTTAGATGGAGTGATTCTTCTGATCAGCTGAAATTTATCCATTTTCTTTTTTCCTACAACAATATTTAGTTGGTGTAGGCCTTTACCTTTTCTCTCTCGGTTTTTTTTTATAATTTAATTTTTATATATGGAAAAATCAAAATCAAAGATGAAAGAGAAAGAGAATAAGAAGTTTGTTTTTGATGGAAAAAAAAATGGTAGGGAAGAGGGTAAAGAAAAGGGTAAGAGGAAGAAGCTGAGGAGGACGAATGAAATAGAAATTTGGAGGAAAAAAGCTGAATCATGGAACCCAAGTGATTGGAATTGACCAGAATTCTTATTTTCTTTTTCTTATTTAAATTTTTTTGGTTGGTGTTCTGTGGATTGGAAAGGGTGTCATTTTCATTGGTGAGCTGGTTTTTTTATTTTTCCCTTTTATAAAAATAAAAATTGCAAGACTTTTTAATTAGAGTTGAATTGGAAAAAAGAAAAAGAAGGAAGGTAAAATCTTTCACTTCTATATCATTTTCTATAGATTTTCTCTATCAAGATCTCCGTTTCTTCTACCTGTAATCCGCTTATGTCTTACGAAATAAAGGGAAAAATTGAGATTTGCTTTTTAACCACTTTTTTTCATCCTTCTTTTGATTTACCTATAAATTACTCCATCCGGTCCTTAATACTCCCTCCGTCCTATAATTATTGTCTAGTTTGAGTTTTCATTTTTAGTTCAAATTGTACTAAAAGTGAAATCTCAAACTGGACAATAATTTTAGGACAGAGGGAGTATAAGACATTTTGATTTTGTCCTAGGTTTAACTTAGTACGCATTTTTAATTGACGAAAAAACCTTTAAAATGAAATTTCGCATTCGTGGTATTCTCTTGATTGTTATAAAATAATTTTTAAAATTTTTTTATCAATTAAAAATAAATACTAGATTAATTTTATGACAAATCAAAATACCTTATATTAAGTACCGGATGGGGTACCATGTTACATTGGATCCTCTGAGAGAGATTCTTCAGAAGCCAATTACAATTTGAATCACTGTGCTCACTGCCATTTACAATAACATTTACAATCACCTCCTTTTTTCTTTTTCTTTTTTTGGAATTCACGAAAACAACTGCATAAAATAAGAAGTAAAAATGATGGAAAAAAAATTCTATGAATGGAGCAAGTAAATCTAAATGATTAAAACTAAAGAAAAGAAAAGGAGAACAAAAGAATTTGAACCTGGCAAATTTAGGGAGGCTGTTTTATAGATAAGTAACCTTTCAAGTAAAAGAATACAAAATGGTTTTAATTTTAAGACTTCTAAAGTTATATATATATATATATATATATATATATATATATATATAATATTAAAAAGTTCAAGCACTTTATGAAAACCTTCTCATTGCTAAACACAAGTAAAAAACATGTTTGGATTATAATTTTCTGAAAATAATCAATGAACTATTTATCAGTTTTATACCGCATCTTTTCATTTAATTACTTTATACCCACTTCTTTTTTTTCGAATTGTATTTGAGGGTTGTCACCAAAGAAGAAAAATTAAATGGACCAAGAGTGACAATTTGCCTTCTCCATCAAACTATTTACCGATTTTGCTCATGATCTTTTTTCTTGTAATTTAAAGTCGAAACCAAATCAGCAAGGATGACAACTTATATCATAAGACGGGATTTTTGTTGATCTCCTCCTATTCTTTTACTCTTTTAGTCCCTAATGATAAATACACCTATTCTTATCTTTTGCACTTTTATCCCTGATGGTAGATTTTTTAGGTGGATCCTCTCCTCTTTTTTTAGCATAAAATATAAGAGGCCATCAAAAGATTCAAAATGACATGACCATCCAAAATTTATAAAATATTCAAATCATAGAAATAATAAAAATAAAACTATCATCGAAAAAAACACGCGGTTATAAAAATTATAGAGTAAAACTATAAAAAGAAAAAGAAAAAGATAAAAAAAAAAATACACAAAAACATACCTGGACATTCAAAATTTTAGAAAGGGGTCAAAAAAGGGGGAAAAAAACAATAGGACAATCAAAATTATAAAGCACCACCATCCAAAAATTATAAAGGAAATATTATAAAAAAATTTACACCATAACCATCAAAATTATAGAACATGGTCATCCAAGAAAATAATAAATGACCATTAAAATTACATAACAAGACCATCTTAAAAATCATAGAACACAACATCCAAAAAACAAATAAAATAGTTGGCAAGACCATCCAAAAAAGGAAAAAAAAAAAAAAACAATAGCATGGTCATCCAAGTTGTAATAAATAGTACAAATAACGGTTGTAAGAAGTAAGAACCTCAACACTACTCTTCCAAAATTCAACAACCAAGATATCTGAAGTGGTACCTTATAATAATCATTTCAAAGCCACAGAACAAAGTCCAAAAGTTATAGTTTCGGTCAAAAAAAAATGATCCCCAAACTTATAGAACAGTTGTTTCAATCCATATAAATGCACAAGATGAAACTGAGACACTAAACTTACTTACATAAACACTTAATTTATATATAATCAACTAAAGCTTTTTGAGTTAATTTAGAGTGTCCATAAAGCATTATGATGAAAATTTACCATTGATGCGCATTATTGTTATATATATGGCATTTACATTTACGTTAAACTCTTTTAAGGAATACTGCAAGAGTGCTTTCAATCCAGCTCCATATATGAATATCAAATATAAGCACATTGCAAATAATTTTTTTTTGTTGAAAAAATAAACACATTGGATTTGATGTTATCTTTTTTATTTTCTTTTTCTGTTAATACACACACAAAATAAAGTCAATAAGGGGGAGAAATCGTCTAGAAGTCTTCGGAGAATGGTTAATAAGTCATAAATTGTAACAACACATCGGAAACTATTGTATCTTAAGCTTCTACCTCGTTCAATCTCTCATTCAAATAGGCAATTTCTATAGAATCAATGCACAGTGCACACTTGTTAATCATTTACACACGCTTGATACCAAATATCGCATTATGCAGTCCTTTCCATCAATTGCATGCAGACCTCAAGCTTAGTTCTCTTTTCTTAGCTTGATTCTCTCTTTCTATTTTAATTTCCAGTTCATTCTCACCCAAATTTTCCCCATTTGCTATTTTTCCTCCAACAAAATTAAATCAATTGTTTTAATTTTTAGAACAAAAAATTTCCTCGCTTTTTTATGATTTTTAGCTTTGTGTCGGTTAAGATAAAACTAGAAAGTCCTTAAAATTGGAGCTCGAATGTATGAGATATGACAGAGCAGAGCGGCAAAAAAAAAAAAAAAAAAAGTATTGGAGCGACGACTAGAATTCTGAAATTATGAACATGACAAATAATTAAAAATATTTGAATCAATTAACAAACCGATTTTTGCTCTACTTTTGATATGTGAGCTTTTCAACAAATACTAATTAAAAGCCTGAAAATTACACAGTTGTTTTTTTTCAAAAAAGAAACACATTCTAGTTTTCGAGGTAAGTCTCTTAGTGGATTTTTGCGAAATCTATCGATCTAATATCACCTGCACGACGTGTAATGGAATATTTTTAAGATCCATGATGGTAGAGTTCTTGTCTTTTTTAAAATAAATAAATTGCTAAAAGTTACTACATATTTCTTATCGAAATACATTTTTGTGAGCTTTTAAAAATACTGAAAACCATTTCGAAACCATTGTCCAAATAAAAGCTTAATCATGGGAAAGAGAAGAACTCAATGGTTAACAGTTTAGGTATCAACCAGGCTGACCAATGTTTGATTCTCATGAGCACCTCTCAAGCGCCAATTACGCAGGTTACAGCTTTCAAACACCCGATCGGAAGGGTATAGGAGGGTTTCAGTGACTTTCTATGGTTTTGTACAGCTTTTGGTTGTCACTATACTCCTATTTTCTTGTATATGAACATGCATAGAGTCTTTCCGATATCATTAGTTATTTATTCAGAGTCGTATTTATTTGTCACAAAATTAAGATGATAAAAACTAGAGTAAGAAATTTTGTAGCAGTAAGAATTATTGTTTACTCATCGTAAATGATCACAACTCCCCGAGGCTTTTCAGAAACAGTCAAATTATATTCTACCATCAATAAGAATGGGACATGTTTAACAAGCAAAAAGTTGCTACTTTATATAAAATAAATAAATAAATAAAAAAATTGAGGAGTGTAAATCAAGTTACTCCAGGAGAATTATATTAGGTTATACATTTTAATTACATTAGCTATCGGGAAAAAAAAAAAAAAACCTCCGTCATCAATCCTATAAACAAAGTTATGTCATCTGTTCACGGGTGGTATAAAACTATAAACTTGTAACATGAGAAAAGTCCATGGAACTACGGAAGTATGAACAATGAAGTATGAACCCCATTGAATCGTAACCAATTAAACGACTAATAATTCCAGAAGGGCTAATTACTCGAGAAGTTAGTCGTTCATGGATCATCACGAAAATGTTATTTGTTTGATTTCGAATGTTGTTGTTTGTATTCCCATAAACCAACCATGTCCGTATGTGTCTTTTTTTTTCCTCCTAAATTCAGTAAAATACTTTGTATATCGTTTATGAATTACTCACATAATATACTATATAATATACTATATGCTGCAATATAAGAGTTTGACCACTACATTGAAGCGATAGTGAAACCAAGCCTCCATTCCAACTGGGATTATGTAGTAAGTAACCAGCTGGGAATTGGCTTCTTGTTTTGGTCACTTTCAAGTTTTAAGAAATGAGTTGTGAATTGGTAAGCAATGTAGGAATTGTTGGAGAATGGAGGCAAAATGGAGTCCATCACCACTAATTGACTATCATAATTGTGGGGCTACAAATGCAGGATATCAATTGGGTGAGAAATATTTGGAACGCAATATTATTCTTTTGTGTTAGGAACTTTTCTAGTATAATTACAAAACAAATATCGTGCTTGGCATGGTAGGCGCCTGGGCCTTTCAATCATGTTTGTTCTCTCAATTTTTTTAAATTATCTTTTACTTTATCCATTTTAAATTGTACTAATAAACGATCATATAGGAATAATAAAATAAAAACCGAACAAAAATAAAGGACTAAGGGCTTGTTTGATAAAGTTACTTAATGCTTAAAATTATTAGATTAAACATTTTTTTTCATTTCAGCATGTTTGATAACAAAAAATGAACCTCCTAATAAATTAAGTAGTGCTAAAATTGCATTACAAAATATAAACAATAAAAATTAACTTATTGTTTATTTCGTAACTGCTTATGCCACGCTCCAAACCTAGGGCCTAGTTGACACGCCACAAGTACAACAAAGAACTATGCCCAATGTCATACAAGTAAGGCATCTCACATTTTCTTTTCTTTTTTTTTTTAACTCTAAGATTGATAAATCTAAACTACCATATATTATTTATCAAAATCAAATTACTAGAGTTTCATGCGGCGGACTTAAACTATAACAAAATACAAAAGAACATTTCTTCAATTCGCCTAGTGGTCACCAATCTACCATTCTTCCCTATCATAATACTCCCCATCGTCGTAATCGTCATCACTGTCACTCGAAATATCTATTGGGGGATCAGTACATGCAAGTTCAAGTACTTATGCAAACTCGAAAACATTTCACGGAAATATGATCAATGCAAAAATATTCCATAGAACACTTTCATTTCATAAAGCAACATTTCACTTCGTAACTTTCTCATTTCAGAAATAACACATTCACAACTTTAGAAATTAAGACATAGCTATATACTTTATCATGATAACCTGTGCACAGTTCCAGATATAAACCCTCCGAAATTAGGGATTATTTTAACTTAAGGCTACTCTCGCCTTGGGATTTGGGCTTTCCAGCTTTTTCGTCCCCTTTCACTTTAGTGATCACTACCATAATATCGTACGTGCATATAGTCTCAATTCCAAAACATTTTCACCATAAATCAAAGAAAACATTTATCACATTCCGTGCATAACAATCAAAACATTTAGTTCACATAAGTACTTAGACAAGCATGTACATCGTGCAAGGGAACGCATCTTGACTTAAGCAATTTCCTTGTCAAGCAATTCAACACCTTTTTCTTCTCCTAACACCATGCACATTATTTTCTTAATACTACTTTTACAATACTAATAACTTCTATTAATGTCTTAAGTATAATATTGAAATAAATGTTTTAAAATTTCTTATACTTGTGTACCATAAACCACACAAGAAATCATTCCCAGGAAAGATTGGAGGGGTCACAATGGTCCTACTTAAAATCCAACCTTCTCAGACAGGACATCTCTTAGTGAGTTGTTAGTATATATCTAAAATTTATGTTTAGTATAATACTAGTAAGTTTTCGCTAAAGTAAACTTTAAACTTTAACTACCATTCACTATTTACGAAAATATACTCATATTTGAAAAACATACAAAATACTACTTTGAAAGAAAGTATGATATAATAGGAGAATAAATAGTGTTTATTCAAAATATCATATTATTATAAGTAAATATATACTATTATTTGAAAGAGATCACATTACTACTAACAAACAATATATCACTACTTAAGGAAATGTACTAATAATTAAGAAAATATATGAAGCATTATTTTGAAAAGAGAATAAACTATCAAGAACCATATATATTGTCATTTTGAAAAGAAGGTATACTACTACTTAGAAAATATAGCTCATTATTTTGTAATATTATTATTTTGAAAGAAAACATACTACTTAGAAAATATAGCTCATCATTTGGGAAGACATATTAACAGTTACAAAATTAAAGAAGATATAACAATGCTTGAATTTTCTTCTTTTTGATTAGATTAGGGCTAACTTCTCATTACTTCTAATGCTTGAATTTTCACTGAAATTCTTCTTATTTCAGCAGGGATCTGTTTGATTTTTTTGTGGGTTCTATTTATTGAGTCATATTTGAATTGGGTTTGCTTTCTGTGGGTGCTTTTGGCTTTGCCTGGGGTGTATGTGACTGTTTGATTTTCAAAAGGTGATGTACTGCTCCCTTTCTTCTCAATTAGGGGGGAGCGTGGGTATAATGGGAGAAGTGAAATTAATACTTGAAGAAAAGAGTGATCTTTATTGTGTGCTCAGATTGAATTCATATATCAAATAATAGTAGTATGTGATATGGGAATCATGCTATTTAGTAGAGTGCTGTAGCAATATTAAAAAGATAGAACTCTCACTACTACTATGGTCCGAAAGTGAAGTGTGAATTTACTTTTTCGGCATCTTATACACTTGTTGTAAGAAGCCTTTTGTTGGTGAATGATGATCTTGCTTTTGTGTTCTTGTGCAACAGGAAATATGGCGGTAATTGGTGGTTGTCGGGAATACACCGGAGCTCCTTATCTTTCTGTTATTTTGGCTTTAAAACATGTGAGTCTTTTCTGTGAATATTTCAGGTTACTTGACATTTATACTTCCTCTTGTAAATACTTTACTTTTATGAGTATTTTAAAACTGTGTCCTGATCTTAGGGTGCGGATTTGTCACACATATTCAGCACTAAAGATGCTGCTCCTGTCATTAAAAGCTATAGTCGGAGCTAATTATGCATCCCATTCTAGAAGAATCATACAGCATCAGGTGATTTCTTAACTGTTAACCTTTTTGTGCTGCCACTTTAAGTTATCGTTGATTTTGGAGTTGTTTGGCTTTCACTTAGGTTTTGGCAACTAACTTTCCAAGATTATATGTTCAGGGATGAGGATAAAAGATCAATATCCGCATTGAAGAGGTAGATAAATGGATGGAGAGATTTGACTGTCTCGTAATTGGTCCTGCCCTTGGAAGGGACCCATTCCTGCTTGTGAGTGGCTTTTAAACTTCTCGTTGTATTCAGTTTGCTTTTTGGTGAGTTTCTAAAATTTTTTTATCGAGGTTGTGCGAAAGTCAATACGAAGGCATATGTGTTGTGAGTCAAACGTGGATAAATGCAAACCACTTTGATGCTTGTTACATATTGTATATTAAAGGCTGCCTATTAAGTTTTCAATACAATACATTCCGATGTCTGAGTTTCTTAAACCAATGTGCTAGAATTAGATCAACTGTAATATGGGAAATTATAGCTTTCAATTCATTCAGCATAATCATTTCTTCCTTTTGTGTCGGTCCATGAGAATAAGTTGATATTGAAACTGTTAGAAGCTTCATTTAGTCAATGACTGTTGATATGCGCTTTTTTTTACCTCCGAGTTGCAGCTGGGCTTGCATGCATTTTGGAATGTCAAAGCTAGTGCTATTTTCTATCTACTGGTTTTGGAATTTTTGCTAAAATTGTATTCTGTCCTTGCCAGCTAGTTCTGTGTTGGTAGATAAGTCATTGGCATACTTTTAAGCATAGAAAATGAAATGGAAACTATACGCTTTGCATGAATTGACTTGGGAGACAACCAAGGATTATCTTGTGCACTTCCAGTATTCAAGACTTTATAGCTGCTGTCTTGCTGACTATGTCTTTAATAGCTTCTGTGAGGTTTGCCTTTTGTAGTTTCGTACTTTAGTTAGTTTGTTTTTTTTGAACTTTTTGAAAATATGCCTATGATGGTTCACTGCTCAAACTAGTAGAATGTTTTTTGCCTTTATCAAGTTTATATCCTACAGACTCACCTTCCAGTGTTCTCTTCAATAATATGTCAAGTTTGCTCATTGGATGCAGAAAAACCCTGATGGCCAGAAATTGTTAGCATCAACATTGACCCCGCAGCCACAGTCGATGACTTATGCTCCATATGAAGATGATGTGCACATGTCATTTGGAAGGTAGTTTCCAATTTCCCTCTTACAGAGTGCCTTCTCCGTGTAAGCTTACACTTACAATGGTTATAGAATTTTTTTAAAAAAATGTATGTTTTTTAAATCTGTCTCATTGTCTTTTGTTCTAATTGAGGAAGTGGAGGAAGAGTTCATCAATGGTATAGCTAAATGATGGGAAAAGTTCAATTTATGTATGAGAATGTAACTTTTATGAATGTATCTTGGCAGTATGCTGTTACATGGTCTTACAATGAGTGAGGGCAATGGTGATCTCGAGGTATGTATGCTAACCCATTAGCATCTGAATATGGGAAGAGAAAACTTTTAAATTACTATTCTTCTCTGGTTCCATTCTTTTCCTAGTCTTCTTTAGCCTTCTTCATTCAAGGAAGAATGATGTCTAGTGTTGTTTTAATGTTTCCTTTTTTCTTTTTTTTTTTTCCTGGGCTACCAATTGGTAATGAGCGATTCAAGAAAGAGACAAAAATAAAATCAAACTTAATTCTTGTAAATTTTGTTGTGAAGGATTACATTATAAGCATCTTTGGCTATTTGGGAAAATGCCAACTTTTTTTTCCCTCTTCTCTCCTCAGAATTTGCTGGTCCTCATTTTTATATTTGTCCTTTTTTCTCCATTGTATCAAACCTATGAGCATCGGCATGTTAATTATTTTGATTATTGCAGACTCGCTGTAGAGCAGCGAGCGTTATTTCTCATGTCCAGAAGGATAATTTACAATGTAAAGAAAAGGTATGCAACTTCAGCATCCCCTCTATTTGTCGTGTTTTTTTTTTTTTTGGATAGTAAAAATTTCTAAGAAAATATCTGTTATTTGAAGCAGATTTTTTTCGAGTATTGGCACTAGATACAGTAAAAGGAAACTTTAACGTTTGTTTTCTCCTGTTATGGAACCATGCATTGGTGCAGGTTTTGCGAATTGAACTCGAAGCTCCGATACCAACTTTAGGAGGTAAGCCTTTAATGCACCGCATGATGAAGTACCTGGCTCTTTCCTCTTCTATGAAAAGTAATGATGGAAAATCAAGCGCATCTCGGAACACATATGTTGAACCAGTTATCTTGAAACTACTAATTGTCTGGCTCTCTGGTTGTCCAAGTTTAGTACAGTGCTTCCTTGATTCACGCCCTCACCTAACTTATTTGCTCGAGTTGGTTTCTAATCCAGTTCGACTATCTGTACAAAGGGGATTAGATGTTGTGCTTTTGGGCGAGTGTATTATATATAATACATCTATTGATAGTGGAAAGGATGCATTTAGCATAGCTGATGTCATAAGCTAGAAAATTGGGTCAACATCTTATTTTCTGAAATTTGATGAAATGTAGAATCATTTAGTTTTAGTGGTAGTAATATTGGTTGGATTAGTATTTTCACCAGATTCTATGTTTGATAAGAATATATAAAATGTTTGGGTGGCTGTTACATTATATATAAAATTGGGTGATACTGCCCTTTCATTTTATAATCAGTTTCGTTTCTTTGGTTTCAAAACAATCACTTTAACTAAATTAATTATTACATACGTAATCAATTTTTGTAATTTTTATATTTATGTTAATGTAACAGTGTTGGAACGACCTAAATTGATCATTATAATGAATGTTTAAATAATTGATAAATTTAAAAAATAAAAATTTAAAGAGATTCCTCTTTGTGACCTTAAAGATGATAATAAAATATATTATTGTAGAAATGATACTATTTAAAACAAAAATTAAAAGTTGAAATAATTTCAAAATAAATCAATTTTTTTCTTTTTTCTTTATTTTTGTAAAAAATAAGCAAAAGCCAAAACCTATCCAATTACTTGACTATCTAAACAGAGAATTTGGAATTTCAATTGAATTTGTGGCCAATTCCATGATTTTGCCGAACAAATAAATTGGCATTGAATTAAAATATCTTGAATGCCAATTGAATTACAAAATATTCTAATGCCAATTGAATCCCAAAAACATGTAACGGACACTTCAGATAAAAGATTTCTATGTCCAAAATATTTGCTTTATCAAATAGTATAATATATGTCCCTCAAAAAAAAAATAGTAAATATATGTAATAGTTAAAAATATTTGTTACCCGTCTATGTTATATTTTGCTTCCGAAAATTCACTTACTTGGCTCATCTTCATTTCCTGAAATGAATTACGTTTCATATGTCTCTGTTTATTTAATTACAATTTCACTTTCTTTCTTTTTTTTTTTATTGATGACAGAAACGCATATGACATAAAATCATGATAGTATAAGAAAATCGCGTTGTAACAAAGATTGCGCTCTGCTCCGCAGGTTTATGAGTATATTGACTTTATCTGAGAAAACAAGAACTGCATTTTCTGACCCCCTACATTCTAATTCCAATCACTTGACAAAAGCAAAAACTAATTTTCTGATTAATTTCTTATGTTTTAAAAATGATTGTCTAATTTTCATTTTCAATTTATAAAGAGATAGTGAAAATACACTTGTATTAACACAATACATCGTACATCTTATTATATTAGAAATAAAAACTACACTTAAGAGAAAGCACCACCATTTACTATGTGGCATTTCTACATCATATTTTTAAAATAAATCTTTATTTTCACATCTCCTAGACTTAAAAGGCAAATGCAGTCCAAATTCACCTCCACCTCCTATTTTTGCCAAAAAAAAAAAAAAAACCACGGGTTCATAAAAAATCCAAATCCTTATCTCCATTTCCACGACAATCGACTCCCTAATCAATCCCTTCTCCACAATTAAAAAAAAAATTTCTCATCAATCATCAATTGAGAGTATGTAGTGAAATACACTCCTTTCCTATTAGCATGTTCAATATTTTCATTAGTGATGATCAACTACATTCTAATCGAATAAAATTTCAACTGCAAAAAATATTCTCTTTACCTCTCTATATAAACATAAAAGAAAAAAAAAATTCTCATTGATCTTACTTCGGCCGTTGTAATGGTGACATTACAGGTATTAAAATTTAAATGATTTTATTTCCACAGATCATTGGTTTGGATTTTATTATTTTTTATTTTTTTCGTTCAGGAATAGTGTTATTACTATTATTTTTATGCGTCCATCCGTTACAGTTACCATAACCGTTGTCAGGTAATATAATATGATTTCTTATTTGGTTAGTTAGCCTAGAATTTTTATATGATTTTAGTTATGTTTGGATTGAATTGATTAATTGAGTTTTTATTATAAAGTGTGGTTTTTAATTTTTTTTTTTATGTTTCATTCAATTAGAGTGGTTTTCTTTTTTTAATTATGGAGTCTTAGGTTTTTTTTCGTATATGGCCAGTTATAAAGTATGTTTTTTCTTTGTTTAATTGCTTTTGATTTTGTTTTATACTCCCAATTGACCAATTGTTATTATTATTATTATTATTATTATTATTATTATTATTATTTTATTTGCAAATGAAGCACGTTTTTTTTTTTTGTGTTCGGAGTTTCAAGAATATACTTTTTTGGATTTGATTTTTGGACGATTTTTTAGTTTCTCACCATATAAATAGTTCAGGTCGCTTCTTCTAACTAATTTATAGGGAAGCCTTTTATGAATTTGAAGTGGAGAGGGAAGGAATGATGTTTCTACGTTTATTTGTGTTTTTATACATCATTTTAACCTACAGAAAAAAAAATCTCAAATTTTAATAGGCTATCTTTTACTTACTTTTTTTTTTATTTGCCATGGTAAGGTGAGTTCTTTTTTGCTATATCTTGAAACCTATGCAAATTTACATTATTTTCATTCTCATATTTGTGATCAACCAGTTTCACAAATTAACCAGTTTCAAAATCATATTTTTGATATTTTACTACCTATAAACTTTTGGAAGAAATAGTTCCAACAATTAAGCGTATACCCGTTGGAGGAAGCTAACTACAAAGCTATTATAAATCTCCAAAACGAAGTATAGATTTGGCACAACCAATGGAGAACATCAATAAATTATCTTACTAATATTTAAACTTATTAGGATGTTTTTATATTTTGTGTAGCATTTACTTCAAGACATATATTTGATCAAGTTATTTATATTTAAGAAGTAACACTTATAAAACATTTCTAAAATCTTCAAACATTTCTAAAACGTACCGGGCCAAATACAATTTAAGTTTATGCCAAATACAAACATCACACTTATAAAACATTTCTAAATACTTCAAATATTTCTAAAATATATCGGGCCAAATACAAAATATTTTTTTTCCAGATACAAACATTTCTAAGATCTACAGATATAATAGGCCAGGTCACGCATTGCGCGACCAGACATTACTAGTTTATATAGATAAAATTACCATAAAGAGCTGGTGAAAATACACTTATATTAACACAATACATCGTACATTTACACCGATAGAGTTACCTCCTAACCTTAGTAGTTACCGTAAAACATTAGATATTTACGATTTACACATGTTATATCTTTTAATTTAAGTATAAATTGGATAATGATTTTAGATAGAGTAGTACTTCCTCCTGTTATTAATGTAAGTTATTTTGATTTGTCTTAATTTTTATCTAATATGTAACTTTAATTGATAAAAGACCTTAAAAATATATATTTTCACATTCGTTGTATTCTTTTGATGGTTACAAAATATTTTAAAGATTTTTTTGTCAATTAAAACGGCATACTAGGTGAAACTTAGGACAAATTAAAATATCTTACATTATGGACAGGAGGAAGTAGATAACTTGATGTTCTTTAATTTGACAAATTGCTAATCCTCAGCAATGATTGTTGGTACGTTCAGCAAAACACGTTTGCGTACATATTGTTTTAGATTCGTCATTAACTTTTGATTAACGTCAATGACATATATATTTCGTTTTATTTATTTAAATAAATAGATAAGAATCGACATGACCTTTAACACATACGTTTTGTGTAATAAAAAATTAGAAAAAAACTTAATACGGTAGAAATGTGACAAATGATGTCTGGTTAGATTATATAGAGCTGTTCTCCTACATTAAGTTTTAAAATTTATCCTAAAATAATGACAAAATTTAAAACTCAACATGATGTTTTGTTTAGGACAAATGGAGTAAAAAAGTTTTCAGGCAAAGGGAAATGAAATTATTCCAAAAGCATATTCTGTTGATGATGGGAAGAAGATGCGTGTGGTGGACTGTCTAAAAAGGTCAATAGTGATTCACGAAATTCAGCGGTAACCCAACTGGGCCAGCTTATTTGCTGTGATTTAATTTAATCGGTATCTTCAAAAATACGTTTTAGCTAGGTTACATGTTTTTTGCGTGTTTGAGAAAACCAGAGTGACGTGGTTAGATTTACGTGAAAATATGTTAAAGATTACTCCTTTGTCACCAACACAGCCTCGTCATTAAAGTACCAAAATATTTGCAATTCGTCATTTCTGTTAATGCTTAAAGAAAATCCCATGTTACCCCCATGAGGGTGTTTAACTAATTTAATTATTATCAGAAATTAATGAAGTCAATTGTATAGCTAGGGACTTGATTAATAAACTTAATTATTAATCTATACTCAATTGTATAGAGAAATTAATTTCTCTAATTAATGAAATTTATATATTATTATTATTATTTACCTCGTATCACCTTAGTCAATTAGCTTACATAGATTCATCAACTTGCTATTGTTTAACCCTCTTTCTGATGATTCCCCCTGATTGTTATACTATAATAAGTATATCAAAAAAAAAAAAATTCACAATGAACTCCATATTCGTCTACTATGAATTGAAAAAATCATGAAAAACACGTTTGTGGGCGTAACCTTAATTAATTGCCTTCAGCCCTTGACTATGACTGAATTTTTGTAGAATACGTCTTTTTTCCTTCCCTACCGCCCCCTGTTTTTTCCGGAGACAACGCAAGCATGAAACTTCAAGTTGTCAATTTGTTTACTTAGGACTTAGGATGCTGTCGTTCTGTCAAACACCAAATGCCTCTTTAGAGGGTTGAAACCCTGAATGAAAGGGCCACAAAAATGCATGAACTAGTAACAACGTGGTGTAGTTTTAGGCAATTGAAATTTCTTTTTCTTTTACAAGTATTACTCCAGACCAATACGTCATATTAATTAATATTCATAGTACAAATTAGACCGAAGAACCATCAAACATGATGTTATTGAAATCTAATCCTGTTTCAAAAAAAGAAAATTAAAAATAATCATGTATTTGTTGCATTACTTTGTTTTGGAATGAAAGAAAAACAATTAAGCGCTATGATCTAATTGCCGTAAGATGGAAACTCAGGTTTCATGATCAGATTCTCTCAATGTCAATATGGAGTCCAGAATATAACACACATTGTCTTACACTTTTTCATTTGTATTATTTTGTATGTCTGTCTGACATTATCTTAGGGCCAATTGAAAATAAATTGAGAAGCGTCTTTATATATATATATAGTTGTTAATGTGCACTTTTTTTTATATTTCATTTTGTAAAGGACAAAAAAGGAAGAAGAAGAAATAATAGTAGTGAGTTAATTAAGAAATGTAAAATAATTTCAGCAGTTACACCTAAACTAAATAAGGTTGTTGGGAAAATTGTTTTACATTATATATTAATTCCCTTCATCTACCACATAAATAATGAAATAAATTTGTTGCCTGCTTGAGTTTTTATTATGAATAGAAAAATGAAAAAAAAAAAAAAGAAAAAGATTACAAACATTTCCACCAACTGAGGGCTCCATCGAGCTTGTTTGTATATCATTTTCCAGTAATAAATAATGAGCTTTTAAAGTCTTTGAATGAGTTATTGACATGTTTGGGCCTCATATAGGATGACTTGAATTAAATGTTTTAATTCTTTTTTTGCCTATAATTTCCTTGATGCAAAAAAAAGTACACCGCCACTACTAAATTTTTACCCTCTCCATCTTGAAATAATTGTTCAATTTAAAATTTTATTTTTAATAACAAATAACTTACAGCATTATTTTTGTTTACTTTCTTGATTTCAAAATAAATCTACCTCTTATATGAATTCATGGAATACAAGTACGCATGCTACTTATTTTTTCTCTCTGACATCTCTCTACCTTTCCTCGGATCGCCGGCCATAGGCCAACCACCACCGTCTTAACAACCTTCTTTTACTCAGATTTTAGGCTCTAATTCAAATCCAAAAATAATCCACAACAATTCTACAAAACACCAAATTCTAAACCTTCCCATAATTCATTGAACACCAACATTATTCAAAGGTGAGCCAACTTTTCTTCTTACAATAGAAGAGGATGACCAATTGGCAGTCCCATTTCGACTTGCCTTAGTCGGAAAATTCACAAAAGGAAGGCCAAAAACGGATTTTCTGAGGAGAGAATTTCAAATCATTGGTTTCAAAGGGAACTTCTCAATTGGATCAATTGATTACCGACATATTCTTATATGTTTTGATCTAGAAGAGGACTTTCATCACTGCTGACTGAAAGGATTGTGGACCTTTGACAAGCATCGGATGCGAGTCTTAAAATGGACCACTGACTTTAATCCGGAGCATGAAAGCTCCATTGTTCCAGTTTGGATTTCTTTAGAGGGCCTACCCATCCAGCGCTTCAACAAGGACTACTTGTAAAAACTTGCTAGCATCATAGGGACTCCTCTTCAAATTGATGTGCCAACTCACCATATGTCGCGACCTTCGGTGGCTCGCGTTTGTGTAGAGATAGACTACCTCAAAGAACACCCCATCTAAATTAGATTGGGAGTTGAAGGGAAGTCTTACTTTCAACTAATCTACTATGAAAACATGCCATCATATTGTGTCGACTGTAAAAAAATTGGCCATGATCATCTTTCATGTCGACACAATACCTAAGCATCATCGTCACAAAAGCTTGAATTCCATAAGCCTCAATCAAAACAACCTTCTCAGCCAAATCCTCCCCCTTCCACTGTAGCGCAGAATCCGTTGCCTTCTGCTGTTAAGCACCATTCGATGGAAGTCGTCATTGTTGATGATGTGCATAATGTTGCTGACGTTGCAGGCATCGCTGCTTTTGCTGCAACCCATTCAAATCCGCCACTTTCTGAAGATGCACATACTGGAGTTTCAAACCCTGATGTTGCAGCCTCCGCCGCTGTGGTAGCCTCCAATTCTAATCAGCGACTTTCCGATAGTGCTCCCCGGTGATGAGAAACATGTAGCCTTCCATGGTGATTCTCCTAGTGATGGGAATGAGCTAGTTCTTCATTCTAGTTTTGGAATGCCAAGTTTACTTTGCAGGCCAATTAAGGAAGAAAGGATGGATCTTGACTAAATATGTGATAGGGAGTTGGTTCAGGAGAGCTATGATCAAGGTGACAAGAATGTCATTAACTTTGGGGTTCAAACCAAAGGAGATGATTCACTCATGGAAATAAGTGCTCAAGAGTATCAAAGGAGTTTGACTCTAGGTGTTTCATGAAGATCATTGATCAAGCTAGAGAGAAGAGTCATTTAGGTTCTTGAATGGACGGCGTATTTGATCAAAGTGTTCAAGATTGAGTCCATTCTTACACAATTGGATAGGTTGCAAACTATCTCAATTGTTTCAAGTTTTTCTCCAATCTTTTGGAGTCAATAAAAAGAATTCTACAAATTTTGGAGTAAATTAGAGTTATTTACAACTTGAGGGGCGCAAGACCAATATTCTACTTTTGGAAGGGCGTTCAAGATATTTTACTTCAATATTTGGAGCTGAATTTCGAGATTAGAGTTTGTCTAAGTCTAGGAGTTTAATTTTCGAATTTTATCTAGTTAAATAAGTCATGTGGGCTGAATTAGGCTAGAGTGTTTTGATTAGGAGTCTTGGATTCCTTCTAAGTATTATCCTATTTGAGGATAAGTCATTTAGATAAGGTTTTCTAGATTTTAGATAGAGTCAAAGAGATCAAATACTCTTCTACTTCTACTCCTGTGTAGATAAGATTAGATAGTCCTAATTGGTCTTCTTTTTTGATGCTTGGCCAAAATTCATAGCCTATAAATAGGGGAGGATGGCCGAAAATTAAAGCACCCTTGAGTGGTCATTTTTTATTGTCTCTAATGAGAGTTTTTCCTGTGAGAAATTTTTGTTAATTGGTGTGTCCATTTTTCGTGTCAAGTATGATTTAACCAAGAGAGTTTTCATCTTGTCTTGGATCTTTTGATCTTGCAGAAACCGTTCTTTTTTTAAGTATGCTTCTTGATAGAATTGTTTTAAAACTAAAACTTCTTATTTTCATACTACTTCTAGTAGTTCGAGAGTTGAGCCTTTCTTTTGGCTATGGTTTTCGAATTCATGATGTGTATGTTCATGAGTTCCATTATGGGGTTTATCCTACTTTTGTTGGATGAATTGTGCTTTGGTATAAGCATTTTGAGATAATGTATGTGTTGCATATCTTTGTTGGTTATGGAGATTACTAATCAATAGTATTCCTTCATAGTTGAGCATTGTTTGCTCCTACCTTTCTTGAGTCTCTTGAATGATAACTGATCGAGTATATTGAATGGTGTCCTTACTATTCTTAGTGTGGGTTGTTGTTTAATTCGAATCTTTCATGGATAATGTGTTCTTTGCTTGGTTTGAGTTAAGAGATAGAAATCCTTAGATAAACGATTATCTTACTATAAATTTCCGCACTCTTTTGAGTTTCACGGAATAGACAACTTATCTTCGTACTTTCTTGTTTGATGGTTGCATTAACGAAATTTGCTTCATCTACGAGATTGCTATCACCCGGCCTTCACTAATGATTAGCGCGCCTGAAACAAATCCGCGCCATGTGGAAACCCTAGAAGGGTCGGCTTTGGGTTTGACGGTGACGGAGAAGATTGGTATTCCAGTCGACATCCTTGAAAGTCTGCCGCTTTCCTTGATCCCTGAACAAATGGAGGAAGAAGGAACTCCTCGGCTATCTGTTGACGTTGCTATTGAAAAAGAGAATTCAGTGCACCCCTCAATTTCGATTCCTGATCAACAAAAGTTCGCTGATCAACGCCCCTCTCAAGAAAATGCTGCTGCTACAGACAATCACGAAGCATTCAAAGCCACACAATAATATTCTGCAATCTGATCCGGATTCTCCTATTTTAAACGTGGAAAATTTAGAATCCAAATCAACTCAACCGCACTTCACTCCCTCAAATTCAGATGGCGTTTACCCTCAAAATAAAACCGTGTCTTTAGCACCATCAGCTCCCCAAATTGATCCGAAAGATTCAGCCTCAAAAGAAGATGGGTTGAAGTCAAACTTTACCCCCCTCAGATAATGAGGATTCTTTTTCTAAAAATAGCTCTAATAGTATTTTCACAAAAAAATAAAACCCGGCAGCTCCTGAATTTTCCTACTCCCCTAGACCACAAGTACCTCTCCTTGAAATTTTACTTCTAATTTCAAACCCATTCATGGCAGAAAAACACAATCATTTTTTATCTAAGGATGATACGGATGTAGGGAAGAATACTTAGCCTTTTAACACAAGCTAATCGATTGAAGAGATAAATTTCGAAGGTAGACTAAATCATGCTTCCAACGATTCTGATGAAGATGATTTCGATACGGAATATTCACGGGAACAAGAGTCCTTCTATCGTGAAATTCCTGATACAGCATATCACAATTATTCGAAAAAAGTCAAGGTTAAAAAGAAAGTTCAAGTTTGTCGGTCTATTAGATTGAACAAGGATTCAACTTTACTTTAAGATTAAAATTGTATTTGATATAAAATTTAGTATTCGCTGCCCTATTTTTTCTTTATTATTAATAAAATTGTTTTTTTTAATAAAAAAAAATCTGCCTCTTATAGAACGGGGCAATGATTCTTCTATTACTATTGTTTTAATTTAAAATGTTTCATAACTTCGTTCCTCCAAAAAAAAAAAAAAGAAAAAGAAAAAACCTATTTCAATGTGGTTAAACATTTACTTCGTCTCTATTGTTTGTGTTCATCAAATATTCAAGTACGAATATTTGAATTCACCAAATGAAGATGTTTCCATGTAAAACTTTTAATTTATATTGAATATTCAAAGCAAGAAAAACCCTACGGAAAGTTAGAAGATTAAAATGATCAGTTATTTTTTGGTCTTATTGCCCCGGACAGCCTTCGCAGTGACACAGATTGGGTAACTAATGATTAACGATTGATATTTTTTTTAATAGCTGAAAAATGACAGGTGGACTACTTAAGAGCATTATGTCACTGCAATAGTAGTATATATATAGAGTACTTTTGCCATGGAAAATCGTTTTCCATAGATTTCGACATCCAAAAGGACCGAAACCCTTATCTATCACGCTCAGAAGTTGCCCAATCATTAATTACAGAATGTTATATCCTTTACTGTAATTTAAGGATGATGTGAATGCTCATATTAATGAACTAACTTTACCTTTTTGCATGACAAAACTCTAAAAGAGGTACAGTCACTCTGAAATAATTCAGTTGATTTTATTTGTACGATAAATATTTGTGATTAACATGAATGTTACTCTTCACATAAATCAATTGACGGCTAGGAATAAAATCTTAACAACCCACATAACTGAGAAGTTCGAAGACTTTTTAAGTTGAAAATCGAGAACTCAATTTCCCCAATTTCGTATTTAATTATCTAATGTCTATGGCAAGTTAGCATTTTTGGGAATTTGCATCATTTGAATTCAACTGATCGTTATTGGAACATGATATTATTAGAGCTATTTTACCAATATAGTAATAAAATTCTCAGGTTATGTTTCTTTTATTGTAGGGAAGTTTGTTTTTAGCTAGGTTCTATATTAATGGTTAGGTAAATTAAAGTGTCTGGGGCGAGGGTTTGAGCACAACAATTATCGTCAACTATTCTCAGTTTTATTGTTATGTCACCAAACGCACTTCCTAATTGATCAAATAATTCCAAAAAATAAAGATAAGGACTGATCATTCCCCCACAACGACCTACCACATTATTTTGTTTCGCCGTCGGTGCCTCCATTTTTGTTGGCCTTATTAATAAGCGCACGCTTGCAATACGCATTACTGGAGAGACCAATCTTGTAAAACGGAATTCAAAGCTTAATTTTTTTTAAAAAAAAATAGTGGCGGAATCAGTCTTTTATTTTATCGCAAGTTTATTGTTAAAAGTTATATATCATTTTTTTCTTTTTCTTATAATGATCATGCTCTAATGAATTATCTTTCTAAGAGTTTTATCATTTGATCAGAAAATAAATCAGGTATACATTTCGTGAAAAATAAAAATGTTGTTGCAAATAACCACATGAATTCTCACAGCTCACAAGTTCAGAACAGGCTTTCTGTAAAACCACATGCAGATGTCTTGATGATCCAAATCATGAAAGTCATGAATGCTTCTAGACAATGAAATATTCTTGCATTGTATTTGGTCGGAGAAAAATGTGCACCACTCCAACTCAATCATGTCTTCAAGCTGACTGGGTAAAAACTTGGTTTTGTCAGGCGTTCATTTGTTATGGTCAATTTCGAATCAAACATTGAAAATGGTGGTCCATTGTTAATCGTACCAAAAAAGAGCTTATGAAAGTTTGTGTGTGGATGTAGATTTGTCGATGACTCAGAGATTTAACCAGTGAGAAGTATATGGTGCACAAAAATATATATACATGAAAACGCTCAACTTCTCAAGTCTTAACCCATGTCGTCTCAACCTTTCGGAGATTCAAGAATTCAATTTCGTTTATGATAGATGTAAGAGTTAATGGGTGTGTAAAAAAAAAAAAAACAAAAACCCTATCCTTGTACCAAAAAAAAAAAAACTTTTCTACCAATTTCGAGTTGTGACTGTATATTTGAGTTAGATGTTTTAGGGAAGAAGGGCAAAAATAAAAATGAAATAAGAGTGATAATTTAACGTAAAATCTTCTACTTTATATCTACAAGTTTGAATTATTAAACATTGAATGTTTTACCACCAATGAATGAAATATAATAAATTTGAATTATTTTTTTCTTAAAAAAAAATTTGTAGTCTATGTGTCTTAAGAAGAATATGATGTAACATACGTATAATTTTTCTATTTTTCATTTTTCGTGAAACAGTAAATTATAGTAATTAACAAGGATCCTAGGAAGTAAAATGGTAATAATAATTCGGAGCCCACCACCATCTTATCCTGTATTCTGGTTTTGTCCCTTACGTTGACTCTAAAACACTTTTCCAGTCCGCAAAAAGGGATGAGCCCGGCCTTGCACGGCTACAATATGCAAGTTAATATTATCTCCAATGTAATTCAGTATGTAAGTTACTTGTTTTTTAAAAAAAAAAAAAAAAATACTCCCTATATCCTAAAATCATTGTCCATTTTGAGACTTCACTTGTAGTACAATTTGAACTAAAAATAAAAACTTAAACCGGACTATGGGAAGGAGGGAGTAATCACTTTGTTATACTTTATCTAAATAATACTCTTTCTGGTTCTTATTATAAGGCATTTTAATTTCGTCTTAAATTTCACCTATAATATCTTTTTAATTAGAATAAAAATCTTAAAAATATTCCATAATAATTAGGAGAACACAAGGAATATGAAATATATTTTTAAAATTTTTTTCCAATTAAAAAGACATCTTAAGTTAAACTTAGGACGAAATCAAAATGACTTATAATAAAGACCGGAGGGAGAGTATAATTATATATTTATTTATTGAGTGGAAGGGATAACCCTAAGTCCTCCTAGCTAGAGGCTAGAGGCTAAGTTTAATTGATGATTCGCAATGAGCAAAAACTACCAGATTTTCAATTAATGTTGGCCGGACCTTCTCCACTCATTGGTTAGGCGACGCCACGCAGTTGTTGTTGACCACCAATTTCTTTATTTCTTTAGTTACTTTATTCTCTAATACAAAATGTCCTTTTCTTGAACATACATTAAAATTAAAAATAAAACAAGTGATGGAATTTTCTAAAGGTGATAAAACGTAGGTTTGTAATTAGTGATTGTGAAATAAAATGGCGGTGTTCTTCCTTCTCGCCTTTTGATGATCTCTTTTCATTTGTTTCTTTGTTTATTACATTTTGTTTATTTAAATACTATTTATTAGTGACGAGGGATTGAGATGGCGGCGAATTAGGTTTTATTGGAGGACGTGGCTAACCTTTCATGAAACGGCGGCTCCGATCTAGTAGTTTCGCTGAATATGATTGGTTTACGTCAACAAGTAATTCTCTTCTTTTCTATTTTTAAGTTTTGTTTTTTTTTTAAAGTTGTTTTTAGCTAGTTATGAGAAGTATAGTAAATTATGTAGCAATAAATAGCATTATTAGGATTGAGGAAGAGTTGATGACATGTAATACGTTTATTAGATTTGGTGGATATTTTACTCTACAATCTTATATTATTTGAAAAAAGTCTACTGAGTTTCTTGCACACTTCATAAAATTCAAAGTTAACAAATTGATAAATTGAGTAAGATTGAAGTATTTAAAAGATTATTATAAATTTTCTTATAATTAAGGATATTAATAAAAAAAAAACAGGATTACTGTTTTAAGACTACATAATTGTCTGAGTACAAGAAAACGTATAGTTTAAAGGACCAAATTAATCCACAGTTGATTAAACAAAAAAAAAAACAAAGTAATCCATAGTTAAGTAACATTAAAAACCGTAAATGTATAAGTAGTTAAGCTATTCAAATAATGATAGAGACATTAAATGATTAAATACATATAATTAATATTACTTATGGAGATACTTTAGGCAAATGAATATGCACATATACTTTGGTTAGATTCCATTTTTAGGTAATCAATAACCGTTCATAGTTTTGTAATTTTTTGTATTATTAAGTGAATCAATCTTTTATCATTTTTCAATAAACTCTCTCATTCTAAGAAGCATAAAAATGGAATATGCCATGTTTATCCAATAGTTTTCTTTGTGTGTAAGCTCGTTAAAGCAAAATGAGTATAAACCCATTTCAAACTTCCAGGCCTGTATCAGACCCAAATGACTAACTAAACTTAATTTCAGCCGATATGATCTAGGCTTCTATTTTTGCTCTAAAATTACTAGGGAATTGGGCTTTAGAAAAA